CAAGGTATAAACCGAATGCAGACTGAAAGCTATATCGTGTTTAGATCTTTCACGATAAAGGGAACTAACCAAAGCCAAGAAGGGAAAAGTTCACAAGGCAGAATAATAATGTTGTACCGGGTATGAGGTGTAGTGGGCACAGGTCGTTTACGGAGACTTACTTTACCATTGGACCCCGAAATCATATCTGGATTTTTATGTTAAGATTGTGGGTTAGGTTAGGTTAGGTTTAAGATAAAATTGATTTAGGCATTAATAGACCTCGTAACAATGAGTAGCAAATATACATTACATAAGCACACATTCTACCATTTAAAACATCACCAGCAACGGGGAAAGCGAAGGACATCATTAAGCGATTAGATAAGTGAAGAATTATCTATGATCATTCTACTAATAATCCTACTTAAATTACCTTGGGATATGAACCAGTAAATGTATCCCCAGGTCCCATTTATAAGCAGTAGGTGGACCAAGCTGAGTACAACGTGGCCTTTGTACACTCTTACCAACTAATCGTCAGTAAAATAATGTCTTACACTGTGGGGAGCAAACGAGCATTTTTGGGGAATAATTTTTGACAATGATTTTATACGCGGGGGAAGAAGAGGAGCAATGGTAAGTGATAGCTAAGACAGTGAGTAGAATTTCAATTTTGGGAGAAGGAGGGGATATTCGTGTGTGTGTGTGTGTGTGTGTGTGTGTGTGTGTGTGTGTGTGTGTGTGTTCTTGAAATGTAAGTGCACGTAGGTCAATAATGTTAAATAATATACGACACTTGCAGACATCGCCCAGGAGACAAATGTTAATCTATGCCACACCAGTTGGTCGATATCAGACGTAAACACTACCCCTCCCCACTCCTCCAGCGCTGTGTTTGAGAGAGCTAAAAGTCGTGTAAAACTGCGTAATTATAACTTCGGGATATTTTATGTTGGTTTTCATCCCTGCACGAGATTAGAATACTTTAAATGTACCTTGTCTTAATTTACATTTAAATTTAATTACGGCGAGTGTATCACGTTATGGCGGTAATGAAATACATACGGCAGCATTTGACTCAGTTAGCCCTGTACCTACTTATCTGTGTCACGACCAACACCTGTTATATGAATTAAAAAAAAAATTATCTGGGGTAATTTATATAATCGACATTGGCAATACTTTTTTTTTAGGAGAATTTCCATTTTGTGATTATTGTTGTACGTCTCATGTGTCACTCCTTCATTATTCATGTCACTCCTATATCCCTTGTCACGTCACTGCTTTCCTCTTCAATTCTCTACTTTATTCCCTCTTCTCCTAGCACTTGACTGATCATTCCTCCTAACCCACCTACCACCTCCTTCATTCCTCCTCCTCCTCCCTCACTCTCCTGCCACCTCACTCACTCCACACCTCTCATTCAGAAGTCATTACACCGATTTGACGGAAACCCTTTATATTTTCATTCCCCAGACATGACCCAGATAAACCCTAACCTCCTCACAAGAACACACAGAGAGTAAGGAATAAAACAAGTACACAGTTTACATTTACAGATGGATGTATAGACACAAGCAGTACAGAATGTGGTTGTTTACATACGCAGGATCAGTCATATATATACACTAGTTCACACACACACACACACACACGTATACACCTGAACAAACACCTTGAGCTCCAGACTTACACACTGACATACAGACGGCACAGATCTTCTTCAGTCATAACAACAGTAAGATATATTATACTGTCCAGAGAATTACCTGTAAAATGGTCTCCTCAAATAGATTTATTACTTTTTATTACACGTTAATGAGGCGCTCGCTAGTTCGCAGTTATTATAGCAAGGGTGATAACTTCAAATCGCTTTAAGGTCACCTGGTTATAACGCTGTTATTACCTGTAAGTGTAATATAATTAATGTTGAATTACCCCTCGTCACAATTATTACTTGTTAATTACGCTGTTCATTAATTCTAGACACTATAATTACTGACGCCGAAAGTGTGTCGACTCCATTCATTGGTTCTGTGTGTATAGTTGATATTATTCACTTAAGAAATTGAAAAAAAATCCTCTTTTATATTTTGCATTTTCAGTAAAACAATAAAAATAAATAAAAACAAACCTAAGTATTTTTAATTAAAAACAAAATTTTTAAAATAGGTCTTAAATGATCCAATTTTTTTAAGAGGAAAAATAACAAGAAAAAATTACAGAACATATATACTGGTTTGTTGAAGGGAGGAGTGAGACCTTGTAAGAAACAAAAGACGGTTATTGTGGTGGTGGTGCTCTGCCAAGTGTAGAGTTGGTCCTTATCCTACAGAGGGAGAGGGGAAGGGGCGAAGAGAGAGAGATGGGGGAGAGAGAGAAAGAGGTAAAGAGAGAAAGAGGGAGGGGAGGGGGAAAGAGAAGAGGGGGGGGGGAAATGTTGCTTGTTCGTTTACCAGAGTATATTTGTCTAATCCATCTCTATTTATCCATCTATCTATCTATCTATCTACCCTCCACCAATCCCATCATATATAAATCACGTGTCAATATTTCTCTTTCTTCCTTAATTCATTCATTCTACATAATCAATCTATCTACTTTCTTCCCTCCCTGTTCATTTATATCTTCGTCCACAATACCTCCTTCTCTCCCTCTTCCTTACCTCCATCCCCCTTTCCCTTTCTCTCCCCCTCTGCCTTCACCTCTTCCTCTCCCTCCCTCCCTCCATACCCCTGTCCCTTCCTTTCCTTCTCCCACCCTTTCTCCCTACCTATCTCCTCTCCTTTCATGCATCAGTCAGCTTACCCATGTAAATCCTGTAGCGAATAGGCAATAGTGACCACACCTGCCGCTCTCACGCCAGGTTGTGTATGTGAGAAACAACCAGAGATACTGACTGAAAGAGAGAGAGAGAGAGAGAGAGAGAGAGAGAGAGAGAGAGAGAACAATTCACTCATCAATCCTTGTTTACTTAACCTCTATCAAAATCCACCAGCCTTACCTCCACCTAACAACCTTCACAGACCATCACACAGAAACCTCGACCATAAAAACACTGACTCGGGAATACAGCCATTTAGCCTCTTCCAGAATTACCTTACTTCCTATTTTCCTTACAGCTGTTCCTAAAGTAATGATCCGTGACTTCTTTTAACTGCGTACTTTTATACTGAAGCTGTTAACCGTGAATATGTGAGTTAAGATTGGGAGGTAAATGTAGTCAAAGGGGCCATACGACATAATTTACTTGAATCTTAATAGCCCCCAGTCTTAATGTGCCCCACCTACATTAACTTAACCATTAGGGTCGAACCAGTGTTAAAATGGTTCCCAGTAGTAATCGAGTTCCAATTCAAAATGGACTTTAATTGGAGCCTAATCGTAATGGTTGAATTAGGATGGGGCCTATTAGGACTTGCGTTAATTTAACTAAATCATGATAGTTGAGAGACATTAAACAGCTCATAATCACACTATTGGTTCGTGTCTTAAGATGTAAACAAAACACAATAAACAATGGCTATCTATAATCTCTAACTTTACCTCGAAAGACTTAACAAAATAACTAACTTTAACAAGATATCATTCCTATCGTATATGGATAAATAGAACGTAATGTACTAATTCCTTGACCCCGATCCAGAATAGGGAACCTAATCAAACCAAACCAAACCAAACTAAACCAAACCTAACCTAACCTAACCTTAACCTAACCTAACCTAATCAAACGTAACCAAATGTAACATAGTCTAACCCCCTCCCACCAATGAAGTTAACCTAACCAACTGTAACCCTAACTTAACTATAATTAAACCAGTTTAAAACGTAAGGTACTCTTCTTCAACTTAGTCTACCGTACAGTACTACTAACCTAACCTAACCTAACCTAACCTAACCTAACCTAACCTAACCTAACCTAAACTAACCATAAGTGTACCTTTCTGAACCCTGGCTTGATCTCGGTAAAAAGTGGATGGCATGGCATAATAAGCAAGTGTTTTAACAGGCTGAGATTTAATCCCCCACACGTGTCTTTCAAGTACAGACCTAAAGAGACCTAAACACACTGACAGACGTACTTACACTTCCTGTCATATTAAGTGCAAAACAATTTTCCCTCCTTTAACTTTAAGCAAAAATGTGTCTTTTATCACAGAATGTCAAAGTTTCTATATAATTCCGGCCGCTCATCTCTGAAGGGCACATGACCTTAGTGGATGAGGAGCTAGGGGAGAGAAGCTAGGGAGGGAAGCGGAGGAAGGGAAGGTGGTGAGGGGGGAGTTGGGGGAAGGGGGTGGAGAGAACATTGTACCGCTTGTTTTTATTGTTCTCCATTCATCCATCCATCCATCCATCCATCCAGCTGTTAATCTATCCATCCATTCAGCTATACAGTGTATATTTCTCCTCCCATCCATCTATGTATGTATGTATGTATGTATGTATGTATGTATGTATGTATGTATGTATGTATGTATTTATGTATGTATCTAACGATCTATCTAGTTATTCATGGTTTAGAGCTGATCCGGTACAGATGCTATTCACTCTCTCACTAAACACAGCCTTAATGGTACCACTTATAGGTTAGGTTAGGTTAGGCCTACAACCAATTACCTGTCAACACTTAAATCATAAAACCACTTTCGATGATTTTTACAATTTTATTTAGACCTAAAATTCATTGCAACAATATTGGTGAAAAATATCATATTAATCTCACTTATAAAATGAAAAAAATATATTATGTATGTATAAATACTTGAAAATGTAATTAATTCCCACAACTAGTGTTCACAGAGCCAACCATTCATGTTGTTAACGCATTCATGTCTCTGTTTATTTTAATTTACATCACTATTTTGCACAGCATTTATTAATAAAACGACTTTCAATTTTGCCATTATTATTATTATTATTATTATTATTATTATTATTATTATGAATTATTATTATTATTATTATTATTATTATTATTATTATTTCTGTTAATTAATATAGTCTTTTTGTTTCAGGTGAGGAATACTGCTCGTCAGAAACGGGAGCAATACATGTCGTAAGTACATATTTACTTTGTGTAGTTACATGATCACACAAACAACTAAAAGGCATTCCTCATGGGGTCAAGAGTGTGTTTCTCATCAGTTCTCAGTTGGTGGCAGGAAACACTCGGCACGTTTATTGTTCTTGTAAGATATTCTAGTAAACATAACTTATAAACCTATGGTGCAGCTCACTGGGTTAATATACTGTACTGTAGTTGGTTAGCGTGTTAAATGATTAAAATAGGTTGAGACAGGCAGAGAGACATACACTATCAGGTGTGGGAGGCAGCAGCAGGTGTGGGAGGCAGCAGCAGGTGTGGGAGGCAACAGCAGGTGTGGGAAGCAAGAGCCAGAGTGACCCAGGTCGCAGGTGGTCGGTGCCCACAATATTCATCAAACCTTTAAGAATTCACACTCACTCGCCACCACCGCCAGATTGGAGAGTGGTCCCCTTTCTGGTGTGTGTGTGTGTGTGTGTGTGTGTGTGTGTGTGTGTGTGTGTGTACATATATTATTTTCGACATTTTTGGGTTATAATACCAGTTATTATAAGACAATGTTTGTGTGAATCCCTCTTAGGACGACGACGACGACAACAACAACAACAACAACGACAACGACAATAATAATAATAATAATAATAATAATAATAATAATAATAATAATAATAATAATAATTATAATAACAGACACATCCCATCATTTTGTGGGTCTCGTTATCATGGCCAGGAAGAAATAAAACCAAGTAAAAAAACGAGGAAAAAAAGAGAAAAAAACTTGTTGGGAAATTTATCGCTTCTGGTAGGGGGGGGGTTCTTACTTTCTTTCTTTACATTAAAATAAGCCTCTTGGATCTGAATGGGAAAACAAGAGAAAATTTCCTATGGTATTATTATTATTATTATTATTATTATTATTATTATTATTATTATCAAATTCTTTTCATCAATATTTTGAACTTTATTCTTATACATTAATATTTTTTTCGTTCCATCCCGACTGAAGTTATTATGCATGTGTTGGAGAGAGAGAGAGAGAGAGAGAGAGAGAGAGAGAGAGAGAGATAGTATGTAGTACCATTATAGCATCTATGTCGTAAAAGGATTAAGAAAATAGGAATCATGAGGTAAAACTCTACGGTATTTGCGACCCACGTTTCACTATTCAATGTACTTTCTCAAGTTACGGCCCCAATGGCGCTACATAGTGAAATGTGGGTCGTAAAAACCGTAGAGTTTTACATTATGCTTTATATTTTAATCCTTTTACTACATAGATGCTATAATGGTACTAGATATTCTCTCTCTCTCTCTCTCTCTCTCTCTCTCCTGTCTGTCTGTCTGTCTGTATCTCTATACGACCTATAATTTCCATAAACCTCTCCATCACCACCACAACAGCCCGTCCTACTTGTACACTCCAGACATCCATCTTTACCACAGTTTCACGCCTCAATTTTTCACGTTTTTCCTCACATTAAGGCACAGTCGCCCTCCCATTCCTTTACGCTTTGCCGCATACATTATACACGGTGATCGGACAACTTTTTGGCGTCTATTTTCTTTTTTTAATGTGTTTTTTTACGTCTAAACTTTCTCATACAAGTTTGATTTCTCCTTCACCAATTAAGGACAGATTTTTTTATAAATATCATTCAGGCAAAATTACTAGATAAAACTGTACCCGAACTGGTTTTAAAATATATATTGATACCTCGTGGATAAAACTTTTGCTGGCTACAGACTGGCACGAGCTGCTATTATCACCCGAATAGTTAAACACTGAGGCCGTAATTCCCATAAAGTTTGGCGAGTGCTTTGACAGATTAGTTCCTTCCCCTGTGCACGCCAGCCCAGGAGTACTAATCTTGGTGGCCAGCGTGAGAGAATCTGGCTGTCTCTGGTGACCTTTTACACATAAATAAATTTACCTGATGTTAAGCTAAACGATCTGGAGGGTGGCGGTCGAGTAATTAAAAAAATACTCGAATCATGTCCTAAGTGTCGCTTGTTCGCTCCTAAGGTACACCCTATCTATCTACCCAGCGGTGAATATACAGGTAGACACTTAAGTTGACAGGTGAGGAAGAGAAGCCTATCAAGTACAGTACCAACCACACTACCTTCAATTTTCTACAACAGGTAACTCTTAAACATCATTATTGGTCATTAAGATCAGGTATCTATTTGTTCCCAAGTTTTAAGTCAGTCTTCATACCGTGAATAAGTTATCCCTAATTACTCTGTTCATTTTCCTCCATCATATTATTGTATCTCTATAACCATATCCTTCTATTTACTTGTGTATTCAATTTTCTTCTATTTACATGTTTATTCAATAATTTTCTATTTACTTGTTTATTAAATATTCTATGGTTGAATAATTCTTTAATAATTATCTCGCATCTGTGTTTCGTTACGTGTTCGGTAAGTGTTCGAACTCCCGAATCAGCACCGAATCATTTTTCACTATGATATATAACTAAAGGTACATTATCGTTACCTGGTTCAGTCTTTACCCGAGGGGGAACACGGCAACAAATACTCCTCTCAATCACTCAGAGGAAATACTGTATTTCGTATTTTCTTACAATTTTCCAGAATTTATTTACCAGCTTGATGTGCTTCTCTCGTGTTTACGTCGCCTTTTGCCATTGGAGATTTGAAGTCAATTTTACATTATCTTGTTTTGTATTTTAAATTATTACATGTTTTGATTTTTTTTTTAAGAAGGTCTAAGATGTTTTCAATCAGTTATGAGATTAAATGTTCTAGGATGTTTATGTAATGTTTAATAGAATGTTATGTGTGTTTTCCTGACGTCGACTTTATAATTAATATACAAAAAATAATGTTGCTACTACTCCTACTACTACTACTACTACTACTACTACTACTATTTTCCCTCATTATCCCTACAATATCTGCTACAGTTTTACCTCCTCACATCTTTTCTTAAATCTCTATCTCTCCCTTCCATCATCTTGCCTCATAACTTCAAATTATTCATCCTATCCCAAATCTTAATTATCTCATCCATATCTTTTACTTAATTCTTTACCTCATCCTCCCTTTATCTGTTCCCTATACACGTTTTCGTTTCTTTTTTTCCCTTAGGTGTCTTTTCCTTAGTTCGGTTTTTTTAATATATAGTTATTATTTTCATACGTGTCTCCCTCCTGATTTATCCTAACCATTATTTTTCCCTCAGTAAAAACCCCCATTTTTTCTATTAGTCTCGCCACCCCACCTCTCTCTCTCTCTCTCTCTCTCTCTCTCTCTCTCTCTTGTAATGTATCTCACGCTATATCCATCATTCTCGCAATCACCATCACCTCGCCGTCCTTCTTGCAGGCACAGCACATTCATCTTCATCTCAGTGTGAACAATCTTCATTACGTAATGGGATACCCTTAGCGTCATGGTAGCGGTTCTTCTAATAACAACATTCATTCTCTTTAGCCTACAGACAAACACACGTACATTACCTTCATTTTTTTTATCGGTTATTAATTTCTTTAGTATCTCTGATAAGTGTGGAAATAAAATGTTTATATTGGTATTTTATGATAAGTTAAACATGGTAGATGATGGAGTAATGTTTCACTGCCTTAAATTTCAAAGTGTGGTGTAGGTGAGGGTGGTCAGGGTGTGGTGTAGGTGAGGGTGGTCAGGGTAATAGGTAATAGGAATTCAGGATTGTAGTGTAGGTGAGGTGGTCAGGGGTGTGGTGCAGAGTGAGGGTCAAGTCAATAGTGCAGGTAGGGATCTGGTTAGGCTGTAGTGGAGGTGAGGATGGTTAGGCTGTAGTGGAGGTGAGGGTGGTCAGGGTGTGGGGAGGGTGATTAGGGTGTGGTGCAGGTGAGGATGTAAGTTTAGGCTGTGGTGGAGGTGAGGTGGTCAGGGGTGTGGTGTAGGTGGGGTGGTCTGTAGTGAAGTGGGGTGGGCTGTAGATGGAGGCAGGTGGATCGGGCTGTAGTGGAGGTAGGGTGGTCGGGCTGTAGTGGAGGCTGAGATTAGATCAGGGCTGTGGTGTTGGAGGTAGGGTGGTCAGGCCTTAGTGGAGTAGGGTGGTCAGGCTGTGAATGGAGGTAGGGAGTGGTCAGGGTGTGTAGATGTAGGTGGAATTGGTGGAAGCTGTAGTGGGTGAGGTGGATCCCAGGCTATAGTGGAGAGTAAGGTGGAGTCAGGGTGTGTAGGTGAGGGTGGTCAGGCTGTAGGTGATGGTGGGTCGGGCTGTAGTGGAGTGGGAATGGTCCAGGCTGTAGTGGAGGTGGGGTGGTCAGGCTGGCAGTGGAGTGGAATTGGGGTCAGGCTGTGGAGTAGGGTGGTCAGGCTGTAGTGGAGGTAGGGTGGTCAGGAGGCTGTAGTGGAGGTAGGGTGGTAGGCTGCTGGCTGGAGGTGGGGTGGTCAGGCTGTGGTGGAGTAGAGGTGGTCAGCAGGCTGTGAGTGGAGGTGGGGTGGTCAGATGTGAGCTGGGTAGAGATTGGTCAGGCTGTAGTGGAGGTAGGGTGGTCAGGCTGTGTGCTGGAGGCAGGAGTTGAGGTCAGGCTGTAGTGGAGGTAGGGTGGTCAGGCTGTAGTGGAGGTAGGGTGGTCAGGCTGTAGTGGAGGTAGGGTGGTCAGGCTGTAGTGGAGGTAGGGTGGTCAGGCTGTAGTGGAGGTAACATATATAATGTATAATGAACGAGAAACAACAAACAAAAACAATAATAGACAAGTTGTAAACGCGATTTGTAGGCAATGTTCAGTAATGACTAAAATATTTTGTTAATTAACTATTATCTTCCAAATTACATACATGGATAACATTATTAACCTATAAATAACACTTTACAATGTTAATATGGATGTAATAGCTAATTGTATTTTTAGAATGACTTTTTTCACCCCTTAGATATTCTATACTCAAAAATGTTATACAAGTTAATTATTTCCTTTTAACATTAATATATTTTTATTTCGATATAAACAATTTAGTTTATTAGTAAAACTCCTTGTACCTCCATCCAC